ACTAAAAAATATTTTTCATTAACAAATATTTTTTTAATAACAAGCATTAAAAGTTTAGAAAGCAAGAAACTATTTTTTTATTTTTTATGAAACAAACAGAGTTTTTAAATATATTTGGTAACAACTATGAAGTACTTTTGTAAAAGGATTTTTGAAATAAAAATATATTTAAATAATATATTTTTAAAATTTTTATATTAAAAATTCAAGACCATTAAAAGAATATTAAATAAATATTTGTTTACCTTTCAAGACCATTAAAAAAATATTATGTTGATATATTATGTTAAAGACAATAGTTTGCACAGATATTGCTACTTTTTTGTTATTCTTTACACATACATATATAGATAAAGAATAAAACATGATATTGATAATTACCTTTTTTATGATATAATATTATATTTATCTTGTCATTAAATATAAATATTTTAGTAAACTTTAGATTATATTATTTATACCTTTCTATCAATAAAAATATTTTTTAAGAGTGCTGATTGTAAATTTCTATTTAATTTTTTTAGTACATTTTAGGTTTATAAAAAAAAAACCAAACACATTATACATATATTGTATAAAGGAAAAGCACATTTTTATTTTGTTTCTATCTAATAACTCTATCGATCACAATTAATTAAATAAATCTTTTCTCATTAAGTCATCTATACTCATGTTAAGTCATCTATACTCATGTATAATGAAGTTCTTATCACACAAGTTAACTAAAATAAAAATATTATCATCAACAATTTATATATCAATTTATATATTGATATAATAATTTAAACTTAAAAATTTACTAGGATTATTTAAATTTTTTTAAAATCAAGCTAATTCTAAAGTTCTAACAGAACTATAACATCAGGTAAAACAAGTATCAAATAAACATAAAAAAAATATTGTTATGAAACTTAATATAATAATTTAAATTTAAAAAATCTTGACTTGATTACTTGTTTAGTTTAAATTTTAAATTAAATTGTATGAAAGTTAGTATAATATTATTTTTTTCACTAGATAAGTCCAAACAAAATCAATACAATAGTGAAAAATAAAATTAAATACACATTATATTAAATAATAAACTAAAATAAATAAATAAATAAAAGGATCAAGAAACTCAAAGAAAATAAAAACCCTATAATAAAGGATGGGATTAGAAAAAAAAAACTAAAAGATAAAAAAAGCCAAATTTTTTTTTATTATATTACAAACAATACAAAAACTTATTTACCATTTACCCAATATTAAAATGTAAAATTAAATAAAAACCCTATATCAAAGGATAGAATTAAAAAAAAAAGCTAAATAGTCCAAAGAAAAAAAACTTGCATTAATGGATAAAAAAACCCCAAAGATAAAAAAAGCCAGAAAAACATAAATAGTTAATACAAAAACTCAAAAACTAATTACAACATAGCCTAGGCATACGGGCTCAAAAAGAGGCCTATAAGCTAAATTAAAAAAAAAAAGATAAACAAGCAAAATTAATAATACTATACTCTACGGGTTTTGTGTTTTTTTCATTAGAGGGTTTTTGTTTAATTTCAACTTAATCTAGGAGAATTTTTGTATTTTAATAATTGTTAAACATTTTAAAAAAATACCTTGCTAGCGAGTGTCATGCATGTACCTAAAGGTAGGCAACCCTCGTGTCTTTCAAGAAAGAGTTGTTTGGTCACGAAACACTACCTTTCACGATGGTGTTTGAACTATCTTAATGCCTCTTATATAATAAGACATGGTGTGTGCTAAACTCATATTTAGTTTGGTATCACTTGTCAGGCCCAAATGATGTCTAGATTTGACAGGCTAATGGGGTAGATCAGTACCAGACACAACAATTTTTTTGTTACTTTTAGGTTTCGCTTTGGCCAGACTCAAAATGCCTTTATAGAGGCATATTTGGTGTAGGCGTGTGCCAACCTAACTTGCTTAAAAAATACAAGAAACTTATATCTATATATTTTTTCTTGATTCAATATTTTTTCAAAAATACACACACACACACGTAAAAATATAATGATAAAATCTTAATTCATCAATTATCATGATCAATTTTCTCAAATATCTCTATCATTTGACAAACATTTTGAGAAAAATCCCCACTAAGCAAAGAATGATCAGTAAACTCATGTTTATAATAGAACTCTACCTTATCTATTAACTTCAACAAACCAACAATGCTTGTGTTATTATGTGTTATTGTGAAAAATAAGATTTACACCATAACAAAGCAAAAGGAATCATTCTAATACATAAAATACATATTTTTTTTTATCAAATTCAATATTAATATTCAGTAATTAAGGTCCTAAAACATAGTAAATCTGGATTAATATCATTTTTTTCATACATAGCCTCATCTACATACTCAATTAACAGACTCAACTGATCTTTTCACAGTTCCACCCATATTGTGGAATATAAATGTCTTCTTTGACATATATATGTTAGAAAAAAACATATTTAAACTAAAACCAGTCACATGTTTTTAAAGATCATAGAACTATAATATCTTATAAAGTTAATAAAAACTTTTGCTATGCATATGAAAGCCATGACCTTTGACATTCAGGATCATTAGTTATTTGATAAACAAATGTAAGAAAATTGACAATGAAGGGTGAATTTGATTATTACCTTTTCATGAATATTCATTCATTGTTTCTATTCTCATGATTCACAATAGTGAATAAGAGTTATGGAGTTTATAATTATAAGCTAACTTTCATTTCTCGTGTTTCAATTGATATTCTCAAAGTTTTTCTCCTAGGGTTAGGTTTTTTTCCTTCATAATTATAAGTGTGAGAGATGAGAGAATGTGAGAAGATTTTGGGTGTTGTGAGTTATATATGATGGTGCAAAGAGAGTAATGAGTTACTTGCTTTCATATGCAATAAAGCTCTTTAGCTATAATTATAGAGAGCATGTGCATATATTTTTATTTGGAGCAATCTTTCTTCAAATGCCTCTCTACGTATTCAAGCTTGTGAACAGTAACGCTATCTGGAATTCATCAAAGATCATACATTGTAAGGAAGTGAAAGGAAAAACAGCTAGCATTAAAGTCCAATCCTGGCATAACATAACAAGATGTAACGAGTTTATAGTTAATGTTCTGGAGATCGAGCAATTTGGAGTAGTTCATGGCCCAAGATGCTATGCATGCATGGCAAGGAATACCTACAATAGGCCTCGTGTGCAGTATGGATGAGACTGTAAATGCAGTCTCCTTAAAAAAGCAGATAACTTCTTAATGTTGCAATCATGGGCAGAGTCAAAAAAAATTTCTATCACGAGCTATAATATAAATGCTCATAAATTATTTTTTAAAATTAATTATTAATTCAAATACATAAATTTATCAAGTTAATAATAAAGTTTTAATTCAAATACACAACACAAAATATAAAAAAATTTAAAGTATATAGAATTCAAAATAAAAATAAAAATAA